GGTGATTCTGTACACACGRCCCAGAAGTTCTGATCAAAGTATTCAGAACTGCACTGAAATTTTTTTTTTGCCAAAGTCCAGAAAAAAAATGTCAAAATGAAGGAAATCTGAAACCATCACAGGAACTGAGGTTCAGTAGATGAATCGTCTCTTTAGGTTAATCAGGTTTTATCTGATCCTGCTGTTCCTGGTCTGAATGAGGTCTGYTGGTCCTCAGATGGTCCTCAGTTCTGTCCCAGAACCACCACAGTCCCACAGCCCCAGAGGCATTCCTCCATAAGCTGAAATATGGMKCCAGAAGCAGCCGGACGATCCATCACAGCCGTCCTCCCGGTGTCTGCACACAGCTCCTGTTGTCACCACAGGTTTAACGACGGCGAGAGGGGACGAGGGGGGACAGGCTGTCCTCGCAGGACTTTATTACCTGCTGCAGGGCGAGACGCTCTGCAGACAGCAGAGAGACGCMGGAGGTCCGACTCTCCTCCCACCTCAGTTCATTTAGCTTCAATCAGGGAGCTGAATCATAAATCATCATCAGAGAAATGGAGCAGCTGAGAGAACCTGATCAAACCGTGACACAGGTCGGGGGGCTGGCTGAGGACAGGTGGGAGGAAAATGAACACAACTAAAACCTAAAAACACAAACAAATAAACTGAGCAAAAAGTAATAAACGTCTTTATTACTCCAATAAATGTAGCTCTGTCAAATTAKTCCTTAAATTAAACTGCAGGAGTTTGTGCTTTCAAAGATACTTTGAACTGAAAATACTTGAAAATTAGATGTTTTTAACGATGCATTACCTTGAGTGTAGTTGAGAATAAATGGGAAACTTTTCTGCTACTGAAAGAGAATAATGTGTTTTTGAGTCAAGAACCAGGAAACAAATACAAAATTAGACTTGAGGGTTAAATACAGGAAATAAAACCACACGTTTCCCAGAGCTGGACCAACCAGATGAATTCAGTTCAAAATACTAAAAATACTTTATTAATCCCAAAGGAAAATTACCTCTTTTTTTCAATTCAAAAATATAAAATATAGAAAAAATATATATCAAATTTAAAGCTGCTTATCATCACTCACTGTGCAGGGATGTAGTGTGTAATTTTACAGTGTGTCAATGGAACAAAATACACACAAAACTACACAAACACAACAACTACAAAACCTTTAGAGAAATGAAGCGGAGTAAAATGTATGATTTTATCATTAAACTGTAGTGAAGTAAAGGTAAAAAGTAGGTACAGTACAGTCCTTCACTGCTGCCCACCTCYACAAACATCCCAGGTCCTAACACGGTACCCTGAGGAACTGATGGTTTCATGATGTTGATCAGATCTGATCAGCAGTCAGAATTAACCACAGCTCCGTTTCTCCTCGTTCCCCATCAGTGATGAAAACAACTTTATCTCCAACTTTCCTCAAACGGAACCGAACCGGAGCGTCTGACAGTGGCTTTTATCCTGTTGATAACATTTAATTTGCTCCGCGGTGAAGGAAAACCAAACCCACAGCTTTTATTTTCCCACCGTCACTTCCACTTCAGATCAGAGCTGCAGACCRTTCCCATCATCCTGCTTCTGTCTGCGCTCTGCTGTTCTGATGGAATGTGAAAATTGAATTACCAGGTGGAGCTGATTTCCTAATGTGGGAACAAGACGACGGATCATCCTCGGAGCGCTGCAGAGGCGTCTTTAAATTCAAAAAGGATCTGTAAATCCCTCCTGATGCCTCCATAGGTAATACAGACTCCAACATTAAAATTCATTTTATGACTCGGTTGATTGTTTTTTTTTTTTTTTCCTTCCATCATCTGCAGACAAGGCCGCAGGCTCCGAGCCCCGGAGAGCCGACTGGGAAGCCAATGAGAAATGAAACGGTGATTAAATGTGAGGTGGACGCAGCCGGAGACAATCAGGAAGTGAAGATATCAACTTTAAAGATCAGATGAAGTCGTGCAGCAACGCAGGAGACTCCGAGGAGCCTCGAGAAGGTCCAAGTCATTCATTTTCACACCTTCATTACCTGCTCAGACCCTCAAGGTGCGAAACGATTTAAACTGCGGAGCTGATGGTTTATCACAGAAACTCAAAGTTTGATTAAAGCCACATTATGAGACAGATTTATCACTGAAAGCCTCGTCTGCTGCTTGCTTATGACTCATGTTGGAGGCAACAACTAAAACTAATGAAACAACTGTGGCTCTGCTTCAAAAAGTTGGAGAAAATAAAGTTCAAACAAATTAATGAWGAACTAAAAGGCATCATGTCAGGATGACTCTCAGCTCCTGAAACACCTGATTTTAGCTCAAAGTGTGAGATTTTCTGAGTTACAACCATCTAGAGACACTCGGGTCTTTCTGATTCACTCCTTTAAATCCCTCCTTTTTTTTAATAACTGGTTTGGCTGCAAAGCATTAAATGAGCTGTCAGCTGCTCCACCTGTTAATACCAAACTAATTATGGCTCAACGTGTTGTGTCGGCCAACAGATCCCATCAGCGGCTCCATCTGTAACCCTCCCCTCAGATCAGCGCCGGTTCTGTTCACTCCCAGGGTGGAATCGTCCCGTCCTCCGTGATCTGAGTGCCAACACAAACTCACGTCTAATCAGGAGGCGCTGACGCCGAGCCAAGTGTCACACAAAGGCTCCGCTGTCTAAACCACTGCAGGATTGTGGGTAAATAGTACCATCCTGTCCGGGCAAAGAGCCCGCCGTCACCAGGACCCCTTAATCACAGAGGTGAGGAGTCGGCCTGACGCCATTAACCCWGACCATGTTCAGAGTGGGAGGGCTTCAGGTGCAGCAGCGGGGTTGGTTCAGCCTTTCATTGTCTGTGTGAAGACCAGAGGACTGGTTTCAGACCATTATATGACCCTGAACTGGTTTTATTTTCTGTGTGAACCCTCAGAACTGGTTTCAGACCANTGACCCTGAAATGGTTTTATTCTCCATGTGAACCCTCAAAACTGGTTTTATTTTCCATGAGAACCCTCAGAACTGGTTTCAGACCGTCACCAGGCTGAGTTCTGCAGCCTCTCTGGGACCTGGTATCACATCAGCCCTGATGTGTCTGTTTCAGCACAGAACTGGTTTTTATTATTATTTATTTAATTTTTTTCCAAACCAAGTGTGATCATGAGGGAATCTAGACGTTCTGGTGATTAATTATCTCGTGGATCCAGAGCTGCCCTCACGCCTCAGGGGAAGACTTGTTCCTTCCACCAAAGCAGATTTTCTTTGTCTGTCGGAGACCCCAGCGGACCCCCTGACAGACCCAGGGTTGCTCTCACGGTGTCTGTCCTACATTTCACCTGACGCTCTGCTTTTTGCTCGCCTCAGACCGGTGGACCAGGTGAACACAGAGCTTTGATTCTTCTGTGTAAAATGAGACGAATCCTTCACGAGACACGGGGAAAYCTAAATGTCACCTGGAAGCTCTGGGATGGTTTGAGGTGWTTTTACCTGATCTGCTCTGAAAACAGCAGCAGGACATAATCAGGTCGAGGCCTGGACTGAGTGACGAGGAACTAATGAGCAGAATAAAGATCTGCAGCCTCCCAATTAACCAAACGTCTATGAAAAAGTACTTCAGCAGGTGATAAATCTGAATAAATGTGACTTTTTGTTTTTGTTGCTTCATATTTAGTTTTTTCTCCTGTTGCACCTTGAAGGAGGTCGTAGACTTCATCCATTCATCACCTCCTAACGAGACCCCTCAACCCGTTCCTGTGGTCCTGCAGATCATCCATCTTCTCCGAAAAGCCCGAGGAGTCCAGCTCGAACTGAGAAATAACTTTATCTCCGAGGTCAAATCAAAGAAGAGTCGGGGAAGTGTTGGTTCTGAACAACCAGTGACAYGGTCCACTTATCCTCCCGACCTGAGAGAAACCCTCAGAGACCAATCAGAGAAGAGCTTCTTGTTGTTCCACCTGCGAGAGCCCTTCACCTGTGAGACCGCCGTGTTCGGAATGAACAAACTGAGTCCAGGCTGGAAATAAACCYTCTGAACAGAGAGTTTAAAAAAAACAACAAATATCAGAGAGAATTTATTTCCTCAGAGARGCTGCAGCCTCCTCTTTCATCTGTCCTGAAGACACAAGGATCTGTAGTCGGGTTCTGAGGAGACCTGAAGGGTTCTGAGCTTCGGATTCAGACGGAATTTTAATGAAACAAGAACAGCTGTACAGATGTTGCTGTGGCACACAACTGAAAACCAGAAACAACTGGAAAAACCCAGATTAATGAAAAGTAATTGTATTAATTTATTAAATATTAAATTAGCATTTTATATTTGATCTTATTTTGTTTTGTTTACATCATTCATTCC